CAAGCCATGCAGGAGCAGAGCAGAATAACATCAAAGAAAAAGTCAAGCTTTGGTTTTAAAGAATTTGGTGGAATTGAAAGAGAAGACAACATAAAAGAGGAAAAAACACAGGCAGACCTAAARTGCAATTCTAATGATAAGAAGCAACGTCAAGGGCTTTGGGTGGGGAATTTCCATCCAGCAAAGCTGGCTATAGAGATAGGAAGGCTTTAAGSTGCATGCTAATACAGACAGGAAACACAGGAGAACTAATACCTAACCACATAATCTCCAGAGGCATCTACTTGGAAGAAAAATATTTTGTCCAGGTTTCAGGAGAACACTTAAGTGGTCCACAGATTGTCCCTCTCCCCCTCCCACCTCTCCATTACTGGTAGCAGGCTTAGCAGACTCCTTTCATATGACACATCTTTGGCACCACAATATCTAATTAASTAGAGTATTTTGAAGAGGGAAAAAAAAACGTCTCTCTATATAGTGCAGTGAACAAAATAAACTTTGCAATGTTTATGATTGATGACCTGGCAGAATAAAATGCAACGTTATGGTAGAATATTATGTAAGTGACAAGAAACTTGCTAAATAAAATTATTGTTCTGCTTATCAGTTGGACATAGAAAGGGCTGAAGTATAAGAATCATGAGCTGAAGAAACAATGAGGATAAACTGAGTAGACATAGCTGAAAGACTTGTCAAAACCAGAAAACTGTCCCAGAGGTTGAGCATTCTTATAGTACTTGGTTCAGTAGATACTTTCTGAATGTTTGTTTTCTTATTTGGAAAGCATTGAGACATGCAACCCTCAGAAGTCTGACTTTTATTAACCAACCTATTGAAACTGGGGTTGTAATCAAGTGTGAGAGCTAAACATGCTATTAGTGAATTGGCTATTTGCCACTGTCTGGAGATGACACAAATCACAGACAAAAATTTGCATAAAGCACAAAGAGAGATTTTCTTACAAGGGCTCATGAATCCAGGCTTTAGGACATTCTTTCTTCATAAAGTAGGTTTAATGAATATGACTGTTCTAAGGAAGAAAATTTCACTGAGGAGAATCAGATACGGGTGGAAACAGATAAAAGTGTGGGATGGGACAAGAGTGTAACAAAAACTTGGGGGGCACTGCAAAACTGTTCAGAAACACATAGCAAAAATGACTGATAATCTCTGAGAATGTTCAAATCTGTGCTGAAAAGAATTTGACTACAAAAAGGGAAGATGAAATTTAGTGATGCATATAGTAAGGTTACAAAAACACATAATTTTCCTATGGTAAATTTACCACTGAACACCCTGCTCTAACAATAGTGCTGTGGTAAATTTACCACAGGAACACTACATTTTTGGTAACCACAGCTCAAAGCTATCAGTCTAAGAATAAGCGCACTGTAAGCAGTTTAGGAGAATTTTGTGTGCAACTTAAAAGAGCCAAGATGAATTCAAAGATAAGAAAGCATTCCTAAGAAGAGAGAACTAGAAAACCACTGAGCAGTTGCCCAGACATCTTGTTCAGCATAAGGTATAAATACTAGGAATTATCCTTTGATTATTTAGAAAATGGAAGTAACAATTTGATTGAATTATTAAAATAAGGCAGAATTTTCGTAGCCATCTTCAAAGCAATTGTTGCTTCCTCAGATAAGAAGCTATTAGGTATAGTATGTTTAAATGTCAATCAGTTTAATCACACGTAGTGAAACAGAAAAGTGCTGGAAAAGTGACAAGGTAAAGTTCATCACATGGCACAGAAGCCTTGCTAAGTATGTGGCAAATATGTTAAAAGTCTATGTCTTTGTTCCTTTCTAGTTTGAGCAGTACACTGAAGTTTAATCACATTAAATGACATCAATAACACAGTTTTTATAAGCACAATCTGCTAGAACAGACCCAGAATTCAGTCCAAGATATCCAGAGGGTAAGATGCAATCAAAATCAACCAGGGACTTGTATCACACATCATATATTCTCTATCAGCCACATTCAAGACAGTCCAAATAATCTTTGGAGGTGAATGTCTCATAGACAATCTAATCGGGGATGTATCATAAGAATGTTTTTGTTAATTCCATAATGAGGTGTCAAAATATAGAACACATATATGTAACCCACAGCTACAACCAAATTAAAGGGACACCAAATACTTCAGGAATGAGGATGAAATTCAAAATTCTTTTAATAAATTGTAGGAATCAATGGAAATTAATAGCAGTGTATACAGAATGGTGAAAAATTAAAGGTTTTTGTGCAAAATTAAGAGTAATAGTTTAGTAGATTCAAAAGTGAGTGGGAGTTTAAGCTATGGTGTTGATATAAATCAGACAATCATCATTCTGAGATATATTAACAGAGGTATGGTACATGTGGGCTACAGGTAGTCGTTTTCAATGTCATGAGAGAAGCCTCTACTGGATAATTATGTTGTTTGAAGTGCCATGGTTAAAAAAAAAACAATCTGGAAACAGGCCAAAAGTTAACACCAAGTATAAGTGGGCTGGAAAACATGACCTGCATGCAGAGGTTGAAATGGTTTGTTTAGTCTAGAAAATGGAAAATTGGTGGGAGACAGAACAATCTGTAAAAGTGTAAAATGCCAGTAAGAACAGTGGGAAATTTCTCATGTGAATGCTAAGAGTTGTGCAAGAACATTGAGGGACTTAAACTGTAGATGCAGAGTGTGAAATCTGGATTTAGCAAAAAACTAGAGGAATAGTAGTAAAATATGAATACAGAAATAGTAAGATGCTAATGTTAACAATTTTTGTATCAGAACTGACTTAGAGAAGGATGGTAACAGATTATATTTCTTGTGGTAGTACTAGAAGTATGTAATTGACTTCTAAATTTAGCCTTGAAAGTGACTAGAGATTTCACTGTTGCTAATATGTAACTGGGAACTATACTAGTATGCAGGATATTAGTATTTGGCATAGGTAATGGACAATCGAAACAACAATTATTTGCAGGACCTCAGTATTTCTGAACACGAAGATCAACACTCTTCATTAGATATTCAGACAATTGTAAGTTAGTAACAATTTGAACATGGTTAATTAGGATGTTATAAAATGTCTGGTCATAGAAAATAAGCTTGGATGACACAATCAAGATTAGACTCTAAATTAAGCATCTGAGTAAACAAAATACATGCAAAATAAAATTCGCGATTTCAGGGTGACATGTTTTGATAAAGTAATTCTCAGGTGGACTGAGTAGTTGTGAGATCAGAATGTTCCAGGGACCTGGAATGTATCCTCTCAATGGTGCAATTATAGCAGGAAGCTGCATCCCAAGAGCAGAAACGTGTATAGAAGAGGCTTGAGATAATGGATGTCAACCCATCTTTTAAAGATATATTTAGAATAAATAGCTATCTTACAAAATAAGATGCAAAAGTACAGAGAAGCAAAAGAAATTGTGTCTTAAAATCCAGATGACAAGAGTATGATTAAATTTTGAATAGACGCTGGAAGGAAATTACTTTCAGGGATAAAACTTGAAATTATTCCTGCTTAACATTTTCATAATAACTTGGCATAAAATACAGGAGCTTTCTGATAAAATCTACCAATAATACGGCACTAACAGCAAGGAATAGGGCTATCATACCAAGGAAACTGGATCACCTTTAAATCTTTAGTAATAGAAGTGGGGCAGTATTGAACAGGATAAAATGTTTAAGTCATGAACTTGGGTGTTAGTAACAGAAGCTTCTCCCCCAAACTACAAACTCTATGCTTGGAAACAACCAAGGAGGAGAAATACTGAGGTGTAAAGGGTTATTCCAAAATGACTAGGAGCTTCTAATGGGACACAGCTGTGAATGAGGCAAATGCTGTTCTATGACATATCAAAAGAGGTATTTCTAATACAAATATCTCTAACACAAATAAGGAAAAGCTAGTGTCACTGTACAAGATCTAGCAAAAACATCTGTGTATGACTAGGTACAATTCTAATCATCTCTCTTCAAGGAAACACAACTAAAACACAAAAGGAAAAGGGTTACTAGGTTAATGACAGAAACAGAAAGTATGTTTTTCAAAATAAACTTAAAAGACCATGATTGGTTAAAGCAGCAAGAGAACAATTCAGAAGAGATGTGATGACTGTTTATAAATACATCTGAAGAACAAGTACCARTAAGAGGAAAGAAGTATTTAATCTAAATAATAATGCTGGAACAGAAACAGAGGGATATAATCAGCCTTGGGTATGAATAGAAATTAGAGATACTAATCATTCAAACAAGGAAGTTCTTGAATTGTGTTCCTTTGAGAGTAATGGGGGCCAAAAAACCCTAATTGCCTTTAATGGAGAAAGTGAGTTTATGAGATGGATGATGTAACATAGCTGCAAGTGATTGCAGGGATTGAATTTGTGATACAGAAAGACCTTTTCAACCCTTTGTTTCTGTAGTTATAAAAAAAGTAGCTAATTCTTTTTCTCTATTTCCATTAAGTTAGGATATAAAATGTTCAATTTCATTTGCAGGTTAGAGAACAATGACAACTTTCTATTAAGACACCAGAGCACTGGAGCAAACCAGCTAAGAAAGTTTTCAAGAAGCACTTGAGAAAATATGTGGCTTTTCTAGATGAAATGAAACCATCTGAAAGACATGGGTTGGTTTTCTGAGTTTCTTTCCAGTCCTAAATTTCTATGGGAAAATAAAAGCTTCTTTTTCTGGACTCTGGCTTAGCAAAACAGCAAAAAACTCAAGTAATCTCTATTAAGTAACACTCTGCAACTTCTGGACATATTTGCAGTGGTTCATTATTTATTATTTTTCCAGTGCTCAGAGTGTTTTAGAAAATTCATAAAGTAAGCACAATTCCCAGCTGGAGATCGGAAGTTTTTGGCTTTCATACCTGGAGTGTCTGGTATACACACAAAAAAATACCATTACTGTATTTAGCATTCTCCAGAAGAGAAAATACAGCCTGGTGTAAGCTCCATTTTCTTCTCTGAATGCTTTTCTTCTCTGAACTTCCTCCCAGAGCGGCAACAGAATTCTGTGTTCCATCATTCTGGACCACTGGCAGGGACCATCCATAATAAACTATGATGATGAGAATGGCAAAACATGTATGCACATTGCTGCTGCTGCAGGCTACAGTGATATCATCAGTGAGCTGGCTAAAGTCCCAAAGTGCAACCTGCAGGCCCTTGATGTGGATGACAGGTAACCATGGAAACCCTGAAACTGAAATTGCTGCTTCCTTTCTGTGAACCTGAGACCGGCTCTGTTTACTATATAACTGTTTCCTGTTTCAGGGGCCATGGCCTAGTTACTGCCACGCACTCCACAGAGAACTGTGCTTGCTCAGAAACACTGCAAACCAGTCCATCTCACATGTGTCGTACCTAGGATAATAACTGACTAGTAGGAATGATACTTAGCTTTCTGTTTGTGGTAGGAAAAGATAAGATGATCTGTGAAAGGACTTTGCCACCACTCACCTTAGCTTCTTTCAATCAGAAGTGGACATTCTTTCCAAAACAATAGAACAGGATCTTGAAACTTGAAGTCAAGATGCTGCTGCAATTTGTATGTAAGAAATGGCAGTGTTCTCGTTTTTAAACTCGTATTTAAGATTATAATACTCCTATAGGACCAGAGAACTTTCATCTTCCATTCTGAAAAGGTATTTGATTCCTTCCATGAGGAAATCTTTATAAGTACAGAAGAGTCATCCTTCTTCTTTTTCACTCCACACCTACCTCCCTTGAAACTTGGCTCATTAATTTATTTAATGTAAACAGAATCAACTGGCTGCTCACATCGATTATTCTGCTCAGTGAAGCAAAAGCCAAGGTTTTCTTGGCTTAGGCTTTCAGGTACTTAAAATAATATCATTCTTCATGGAAAAGTGCAACAAAATGGAACAGAAATAAAACGAACAGGGTTCTGGAGCAGTTTCTAAACATCAGTAAAATGTAGTTGACAAAGCTGTGTCTCTATGGAAAGAAGAGCAAAGGGAGGAGATTAAATACACTTCACAGTTTATGAAGACATAGCCACCTATTCCATGTGCTCAGATATTTCCACAGAATATATTATACTTGGGAAGGGAAAAGATAAGCTGCTCAGTGCAAACACATATACAAGATTTGCATTCAATTGTGTTTCTGACTGCAGCCAATTACTGCGATGGCAAAAATAATACAGAAGATGTCAATTTTATTGTTTTATTCTTCAACATCTTTCTTGTGGTGTTGTCTGTGCTCTCAGGTTTTTCAAAACGTAAAAATACTGCAATTTGGAGTATTGCACGTTATAAAATGGGACATAAATTTCCAAATACAAGATGCACATTTTCTGCCAATCAGAAAATCAGTGTGATTCTCCTGCACAGATTCAAAACAATCATATGTGCTCTGGTCTGTGCCTATCATAGAAGACAGAAACTGGCAAAGTGGCAGTGGCAGTCTGGTAGATGTGTTCAGTCCTTCTCATTCATCTGGGAGGGCCTTCTCTTATTACCTTCATGGAGAACTCTGTGCCAACCACTGCTTACTGTGCTTAGAAGAGTTTGTCCTTAGCCAGTGGACACTATGAAGGCTTTTTTCCAAATTCTGCTCTGAAAACTTCTGCTTCTGACACTTTTCCTACTCTACAATTCCAGCAGTGGAAGAGATGCTATTATATAGTACATATAGGCATTCTGCAACCCCAAATCTACTTTATCTGCAGCTAAATAAATGCAGCTACCCTGGTGTAGAATAAGTTGCTGGAGAATTTCTTAAAATGTGTGTTATGAATCTGAACAAGTAGCTTATCCTGTGCATACCTCACTATATCATTAATAGTTTCAAAAGTAAATCTGTTCATGTATTTCAGTGATACTCCCCATTTTCTGTAGGACTCCTTTGCACTGGGCTGCAGCAGCAGGGAAAGCTGACTGCGTGCAGACACTGCTAGAACTGGGGATAGACAGCAGTCCTCGGGACATCAATGAAAATACTCCTCTGACATATGCAATATACTGTGGGCACACGGCATGCRTCAAGCTACTGTCTCAGGAGAGCAGGTAAAGGGAAAATTCACATATTGCTTACATGTTGCTACTCACTAGAATACAAATTCGTTGCTTTTTGAATGCTGCTGAAGGGTTTGAGCCCTGGGTGTTGTCTCCTTAAATAATATACAACATTAAGTTCATTTTCCACCAATGTCACAACATTAAAATCAGTTCTCTACTGAAGACTCTTCACTGAGGTTGCAATACAAGACTACCAAGCAGCAAAGGGCTCTGAAGGTCTGAGTATAGCTCTTGCTCAGTCACCTGCATGAAGAAAATTTGTATAACAGAGTAATTTCAGCCCTCAGATTTATGTATCTTCCACCTGTTTGAAATCTCTGTGCACYGTGTATTCATGTAATCAGACAGACTGAACATAAAAGCAGTTTTAACAGACAATAAAATAAATCTCAATTTTTCCTCCTCGGGGTAAGGGTTTGGTGGTATTATCCTAGCCTTCTTTAGTTTCCTACCTTGATTGTCTCTTCCTAATCTGTGTCCTTTTCTGTTAAAAAGTATTAAACATTACCTCTCCTCCTTCTCCTTCATTCTACCTGTTAGAGAAGGTCAGACACTTGCCAAAATTTAATCTCAAAACCACTACAGCAATGGCAGTGTCGGTAATTATCTTGACCAATCTGAAACTKTGCTGGACCTCTTTAGCACAAGCAAGGCAAGGAAAGGGGCCAAGGGGAAAGAGGAAAAGAAAAGGTGAAAAGAGGTAGTAATGGTGAACTAGTGCGTTCTATTACAGTGTTAGCAATGACTGTACAGTTGGAAATACCATTTTCCAAATATGACATTATGTAAAGACCACTAGATTTAAAAGATCATAGCATGTTCTTCTCATTATCATCTTCACAGCTGATAGATGCTGAAGCCAGGAAAGATTGTTTATTTCCCAGATAGCTGCACTAAGGTACTAATTAAGATGACTATAAGGCAATTCACCAATTAGAAAGAGTGAAGTAACACAAYAGAATTTTCAGTCTTTGTTAATTACAAATTTGGGGTCCTAATTTTCTTGAACGACCCCTGCAAATGGATCTGGACAGTTGCTCTTTTCGTGGAGTAACACAGTTGGTATTTTTTCATTGTTTGGTTATATTGACATCACATTTTGATTTGTATCTCCAGTAGATCTGAGTCAGTTCATCAGTTTCCCTCCCACAACAACAGATTTACAAAGAAAGAAGGACGATTCAGTATGCTGAACCAGATCTTCTCCTGCAAAAAGAAGAAGGATGATCAGAAAATCAGTCAGAAGGAGAGAAGCAGGGATCAATATCCTGGAGCAGAGACCTCAGAAGTAGATGACATCATCACCCGTTTTGATTGCATTATGAACAAAAATTGCAAAAACATTCCAGATGAGTGTAAGACCACCCCGGACTTTAAAAGAAAGAGCACAGACACTAAGTATCTCATAGCAGAAAAGAAGCAATCAGCATGTCAGGGACTCCCTCCCATCAGCACCCAGAGCCTCCCCCCAATCACTGCAGGCAATTCCTTCCTAACTGCTTCCCAGAGCACAATGTCAAGCTTCTCCTCCAGCTCCAGTAACCCCCATTTTCCACACAAGTCTCAAAAGTGTAGGAATGAGCACAACTTGCTGGACCACACAAGCAGCTGCCAGTCTTTGCTGGATGATCCCTGGAATTCAAACTATAACCAAAGACTCTCTTACAAAGCCTGTACTAGGACTTCTGCAGACAAACTGATTAATGGCTTAAACTCTGATAGATCCCACCAAGTGCTTTTGTGCCCTCCTTGCCTTCCCTCACTTCCCAGTTCTCCATCAGGTAACTTTTTCCTTCTCTATATCCTAAATCCTATAATATCTACTGATGTGGCAAGATGAGTCAGAAAAAACAGGGACCTGTAACAGTTTTTTTAACCTTACAGGTTTTTTTTTTCAGTTTCTGTTGTGTATAGCTATCACAGATAGCATGTGGGTGGGACATCAGTGGAAAGCTGAAGCAAGGTGCATAGGTGTGGGAAATAAAAGATTTAAGTAGGTCTGATGAGCAAGCAAAAATGCAAGTATCTAGGAAGCCTATGAGGTACCTGAGCAATATGTGCGTCCAGGTCATATAAATGCTTTGTGAGTTGCACATTAACACCCATTACTACAGTGGCTTATGTGCCTTGCATCCACATGCAGTGATGTGCAAGTCTTGCCCTCAAATCTGAAACTGTGCTGAGAGCTGCTTCTGGATCCACCATATCCAGTGCCATGCTGGACAGCTTCATGCCATGCCACTTTATTCTTTCAGTTTATTCTGACTCCAGGCTGCAGCGGCACCCCTTCCCACCCTGAATGCCACCCTGAGTGCCAGCTCTTTGGTCTGATGTGCTGTTCTTACAGTTTCTCCAAAGCTGAATTCAGGTTGCTATATTTACAGAGATAGGGTAAATGCTTTTATGCTGAAGTCTGGAAACTGTAATGCAACAGTAACGAAGCAGACCATTAGAATTGCAAGGTGAACTTGATACAAGGTTTTGGCTGGATTTGGGATCTAGTATTTTGTTTGACTCATGCTCAAATGAATCTGGCTGKCTGGCCTGCACACTGGAGTTTACTTCAACATATCAATGTCTCCAAATTCATCTCCTCTGGCATTAGTCCCATGCCAAAATTAAACACATCGAGCATGCCTTCCAACCACAGCAATATCTAACTGAAAATGAAGCAAGCAAAAGCAATCCCCAACCTTACCAGCATAGCATTTAAAGGAGGAAAAATCATACAAGTTAATCTATGCTTACCCCAAGAGACACAAGATATTACCCTCCAGTGGAAAGGGGAGTGAGCAGAAAGCCTGAGAAGAGACCCCAGTTAGCTGCATGACAGTGCAAACTGTACTGACATCTAATTGAAATGAACTACAAAAAAGCAAATCTTTTCACACATGTCTGACAGGGAGAGCAGAGACAGCAATTTCAGAACAACAAGCCATTCTACCTTCTATATGCATTGTGCAAATAAAGGCTGGAAATAGCTTTTCAGTGTAAAAAGGAACTTTTTAAAAGTTCCGCTTCCTGAACATCAAGCCACATTCCTGAAAGCTTAATAGAACTGCTCCATAGGTGTCTCTACTTTTTTAGTATGCACTCTTCAGCTATTCACKCAACCTTAAGATGCTCCAGACTCTACATGCCCAGCACTGATTGCTTTTGCACGACTTCTTCTACACTGAATTCTACAAGGTTCAGCTCACACGTGGAACACAAGAATACCTGCAGGGCTACTTTACAACCTCAGTACAATAGGGCACAGTGAGGCTAAGATATTTGAGATCATTGAACTTGACAGCAGTGGCAGGAATGAACGCAAACTGGATAAACCAAACTGGAGGACAACCATTTCTCAGAAATGTTTCTTGTTGGAATTTGCTAGACTATTAATACATTTGATGTGGAAGTAACTATCCTCTTACTTAAAATGTTATTATAGATTTTTCTTAATATTGTAGTATACCACAGTCTTAAGAAAATCTTTAAATCCTTGTTTGCTCTGGACAAAAGGATAGGTAGTTTTCCTAGAAAAAAATATTTATATGAACATCCTACAACAAAAATCTAGTTGTTATAATGAAAAAAATCTTTGCATACCCAAAGGAAAAGTAAGCAATCTTATTTCTGACAGTTTATTATCTCCCTCAGAGAATAAAAAGCCTGAGTCTTCTTTAAGTCCAGTTCTCTTTGTCCCAGCTCCCTTTAACAAAATTTTCCAACAATAAAATGATTCCTGCAGCTGGCAAAAAGGACCTTCCTCTAAAACATAGGAAACAAAATCCTGTAAGGAAGAAGAAAGTGTCTGTAAGGAATACATTGCACATTACAGACATTGTCTCACATTTCTTCATGATAAAAAGATCAGTTTATTCCTCTTCATGTCTATGTGTGTGGTTTAAATCTGTTTGCCCCTGTAATTAAAGCCACCTGACTTTCTGTGAACTAGAACTGCATTTACCGTATGAGCCCCAAGGCTTCCAGGTCCCCAGTGATCTGTGCCTGCAGAACTTACAGGGATCAGAAGACAAGTAAGCCTGGTTTCAGCATGGCCAACAATGCTGTGCAGGCAGCTCTCTCACTGAGGAAAAATAGCTTTTGTTGGTTTGGGGGCATTTTTTTTGTTTGGTTTGGTTTGGGTTGGGTTTTTTGTTTTTTTTTTTTTTCTTTTTAATTGGCTTTTCTTTGTTTCTGCAAGAGACTTAGCTGAGGGAAAAAAACAACATCTGGTTTTTCAAGACACTGAAGTGTTAATATTTCACTTCTCAATTCATCACTGGGTGGGGGGCTATATGCAATTTCCTAATCACTGAACATCTAGGCTAGGATTATGGTTATCAATAATCTAAGAGAACTCAATTTGAAAATTATTACCTGTGTTGACATGCAGTGTTTTGCAAAACATGATTGTTTTGCATGACCATGTCTATTGTTAAAGTCAAAGCTAATTTTTGTGCTCATTTGCTACAAACGCAGCTGGCACATATATGTGCCAAAGCTTTAGGAGGTTTTTTTTTGTTGTTTTCTATGCTCCTGGGAATGAAAGATGAGTCAATTTACTAGCTGAGCATTAGCACTTACACAAAGGGGAGAGGTTGGTGTGTGTAGCAATAAGAATTACCTTACTATTATGCCATTGGTTTCTCTCAGAATGACAGCCCTCCACTGAGAATAATGAAGATAATCTAAACTAAAACCTGTCAATATTGCAAGAGTGTTTGCCAGCCACACTACTGAGCTGGCATTAACAATCTAAAACATTTTGTACTTATGAGCTTTGCAACAATCTCTTTTTGCAAAATTTACTACCATCTATATTCCACAGGAAAAAATAATGTAAGTAGAGAAATTCCAAGTGATACAGGTATCAGGAAGCCTGTCTCAATTATAAGGCTCTGATATGCTGGTCATTCACTCATCTTCTAGATTACTTAACTTCCAGATCTAAGATGATGTTTTATTACAGATTTTATTACAGCAGCCCAGTATCTTCTATTTGCTTGAATACATAATGCAAAAAAAGGGCCATTATTGAGCTTATGTTGGTACAAGCAGTATGGTGTCATTCAACAGGAAGCATTTCTTGGCTAGGAAAGCAAAGCAAAGTCTATCAGTGCAGCCGTCGCTTTCTCAAATTGAAGAACCAATTCAATGAGACATTCATCATAACATTAACAACTTCACCTTCCTAAATGGGAAGAAAAATCAAAAAGAACAACCTGTTAAAAACCCCAAATGCAGTCCTGCATTTTATGAGAATGAAATTGCTAGTCATCCATTTCATTCAAAAATAACTGTAATCATAAATGTACTCTAGGAGACAGCAAAGATGATGTCTTGAAGAGAGAAAAAATATTCTTTAGATGTTATGTAAAACTGACAGAAAGGAAGAGTAGAAGAATACTTCCACTTGATGCCAAAACTTTTAACAAGGATTCTTTTCCAAGCATTCATATCACTCTTGAAAATACGGTTATGCTTTGTACTTTTGTTTTGCTGACAGAGATCTCAATTTTTGAAATGAACGTATCTCTTGATAGCAACAACAACCTCCCATCATCAAAACCATAATGGCACAYACACAATAACCCATTAGCTGTCAGCATAAGTATCACAGAACCAATATAACTCAAATTGCACTAATGAGAGCAACAAAGGATTCTCTGCTATATTGGAGTTGATATATTTAGTTCTTTGTGCAAAGTGGATGCAATGTCTATAGAAGCAATTTACCAACTAGACACTAGAAATGTTAAAGAGTAAAACACAGGGAAAGTAAACCAAAGTCTGTTTCTATTAAGCACCGTTCACCCATACAAGATTCTTTATGCTTTAGCTCAATACACTTCACCTTAACCACACGATCCAGCAGACTGACCATATGTCTATCAGCTGTTGTGGTTTTTGGACCAGAACCTTGCTCCATGCTGAGCTGAAGGCTGCACTATAACATGGTGGTTTGCCTGARAAACACCACTGTAATTCCTTTCACACAGAATCTGTTTAAACAGCAACATAGTTACAACAGTCTTGACAGCTGCTTCAATGCACCTTTAGAAAACTGCTCTACAACTATTTTTCTATAGCTTTATCTGGCACAGCCCAACAATACGTAAGTATTTTCAAGCACCAACTGGAAAGCCACAAAAGCAATTAATATCATTCCATTTCTTCCCATTGTTTAGGATGTCCTGTTACACCCACCCTGTGTCTCCTCTTGTCTCTGTGTGTCAACAAGTATACGCCTGCTCATCAATGAGCCATGTTGCAAAGCCCTGATGGATGAGCAGCTGCTTAGCAAGACAACGCAGTGCATTGCTCATCACAGATTTGGTGATAATGAGAAAAATAATTTGAGGGACTATAGCATCACAGAATGAGATCAGCTCAGGAAAAAGATCGGGTTAAAATGCTGATTTGGTGCTTGAGTTTCTATTTTTTTCAACATTAGACATGTCCTTTATGTGATTAGATGCATTACATCAGCTAACATACTGTCTTTTTTAATAGTATTAGACCAAAGGGAACTTTAATCTTGAACAGCAATATGCCACAATTAGCCAATTAACCTTTCCTTTTCCAGTATCTATTCTTCTTGGTAAAAATGGAACTGCCATAAACATAGTTTAAAAAGGATCAGTATCACCTTATATTGGTTCTGATACGCCTTCATCTGCAACAAAACCCTCTCAAAGCCCATCTTTACTGCTAATAGACTTATATCTCATTTTCCAAACAGCTGAATTCTATTTATGTTCTAAGAATTATAAAGGCCGAGACCCTTACCAGGGTATTCTGCAAACGAAAGCTTCAATTCTGAAATAAACTCATCTAGTTGAATAATTTTACAGATTTAGAGTCCAAATATTCTTACACAGACCTAGCTACTAAACTGTGCCCATTTTAAGACTTATTGCCATATTATACACAGGGAAATGATAAGCGTATGTGAAGGTTATACTAAACCACTTTTTTATGAATGCAAAGTAAACTAAACAACAGCTTCTTTCTTTTCAGTCAGTGGTTTCTTGTTATGGCATGTTTCTGAGAAATATTATGTTTTCTTTTCTTTTCTAGAGGCCAGAAATGCACAGTGTATCATACTGGTTACAATCATTTTCATACAGTAACAGGTTATCTATTTATTTCACAGGTAAAAGTTTTCAACAGATGTCCATAGACCAACACAAAATAAAAAATGTTATTCCTGTACGGAACAGCCTAGCTCCCATATCCAACCATAGTGCTCACAACAGTAAGTACAGAGAAGTGTCAGTTACAGTATCACACTGCATGCCTCCATCACTGCATCTGAGGGTTTGAGAGAGGTTTCATATTTGTTTTTTTTCAAGGCATCATATAATGGCAGAGGTTGGAAACACCTTTGGAGACTATCAACAGAAAAGTCACCTACAGCATGCTACCTAGAATCACACCCAGTTATGTTTTAAATATCCCTGTGAACAGAGATTGAGATTACACAGTTTCTCCGGGCCATCTCTTCCAGTGTTTGACCACCCTCAGAGTAAAAAGGCTTCTTACTTGTTTGTGGCCATTGATTCTTTTCTCTTTCTAGGACTCCACTAAGAAGAGTCCATCTCCTCCATTACTCCCCACAATCAAACATTTATATATATTGACTAGATCCCTTGTGTAACTGCCCGAAGCCCCGGTCCCGCTGCACCCCGCGGGAAAGACGACACGAGACGCGCAGACAGGTTCTTCTTTATTAATCTTCGGATTTCAGCTCTGCCTCTAACTCCAGCAACTAGCATGCTTTATATACACTTTTCTTATCTTCCCGCACATAGAATCACACCAATCAAACAGGTCCCAGCCAGATGACACAGCTGGGCACTCTCCAATCTCAATCTAGCAGGTTTTTGTCTTTTATTGGTAGAATACTTTCATCTATCCAATCCCATTCATCTCCATGGCTGATACGTCAGCCCAGCTCGAGTCTGCGCTGTTTTGACCCTCTGAGCCCAGGCTGTGTCCGAGCCCAGCCCCCACACACAGCTGTAAGATAGCAAGGGCTACGGCATCCCTTGAGCTGCCTTCTCGAGGCTAAACAGCCCCAGCTCTTTCAGCCTCCCCTCCAAGGTTGACACTCCAATCCTTTAGTCATCTCCACTGCCTTCCACTGGATCTGCTTCTTTATGTCCATGTCTCCCTTCTAGCAGGAGCCTCAGAACTCCAGATGTGCTTCACCTGAGCTGAGTAAAGAATCACTTGACACAATCTGCTGGCAATACTTCTCCTGATGCAGCTCTGGATGCTTTTGCTGTGTTTCCACATGGGCACATTGCTGGCTCACATTCAACTTGGTGAAGCAGAAGAGCTTCACCCCATTCCCAGAGACCCAGCAGAGCATCAAAACTTAGTGATTGTGCCAGGCAGGATCAAGACAGCAGCAGGGGTGGTCTTCATACACAAACACTAGCCCTACTCACAGTGGTATCCTACCCTCACATTCTTGGGCTCCACAAAGCAGAAGTCTCCATTAGCACTGTAAATCTACAGAATGAGGATTTACAGTTTACTAATTGTCATCCTATGGACCAGTCAGGTCCTAAAACACTCACATTTCAGACCTAGACTTAAGATTCACTGCCTCTTTTAATCTGAGTTTCAGAAGCAATTCTGCAGTTATGACAATATTACTAGGAACAAAACAGCAGAGGCGACCATCAAATTGAGTAGGGGTATACAGACTCCTGCACTGCTGCTGTTCTGTACATCTGACAGGAAGAAGGGATGTGTGAATTACTGAGGTGCTATTCTCTGTCTGCTCAGAAGGAATAAAATAATTTAATTTCTTTTAAAGACCCAGGTCCAGGTGTTCTATTTTTTTAGCTTTCTACTGATGTTCTCGGCGTCTTCTAGCTAAAACATAGTTGTAAGCAAAATCCTTTAAAATTATTTAATAATCATTGGTTAATTCATAACAATGAATTACACTAATTCATAGTAATTCAGTACATAATTCATACCAATGGTCAAGAATTCAGTTCTAGTCTCATGCCAAAAACTGTTTTACAAATAAGATACAATTATCACAATTAAGAATCATAGTTTAATTAACGAACACCTTTATCTAGGTGCCATTACTGTTAGTAAATAAACCAAGCCAGTAAAAGAAAAGGCAAAATTATTTGCAAAATAGATTGCACATCTTCTTTGTTAATACAAATAACATATCTCCTCCTGAAGCTTTACAAATAACTGTTTCAGAGCCAAGATTTCACTCATCTTCCAACCAACCTTATAAGTAATACCCGTTTGGACACAGCCTTTATCCAGGCAAAGTGCTCCAGCAAAAAAAAGACAGATTATAAACACTTGTGTTTCCCTAATATTTTTTAATACACAACATGTGTGTTAAAAATATGCTAGGAAAAAAAAGGCAACTAAAAAGCTGGAACAATAAAATAAGTGCAAACTAGAAAGAGAACTGAAACTATGCAGAGATAAACAGAAAGAAGAAATATAACGCCCAAAAAAAGGAAGAGCAATTAAAAAAAAAAAAAAGAAAAAAAAGAAAAAAGGAGGAAGAAGTGATTAAATCTTTAAGTAGAAAGGTTTTAAAATACACATTAGAAAGAGGAAAATAGGAATGAAACAGTAGCCAAGGTAGAGTACTTTAGTGACTTTAAACTATAGTTTATAAATTCTTATTCTTCAGATATTCCCAGGGCCTGAGGTCCCTTACATGGCTTCTTAAGTACCCCAGCACAGACCGCATCTCCTAATCGTATGCTGCTCCTTCATCCCCACCACATTCTATCTCATCACACAACACTTCTAACAGCCCTTAGAAAGCAGTCTGTAACACACTCCTCACGAAATGCCTGAATAATTTTCCAGACAAACATGGCACTTCCATAAAACTCTCTGCTGCTCTCACATCTTCATGGATCTTAGAAGGTCTGACATTTCTGGAGATGTCAGAAGACAACACGTGCCTGATGCACAAAAAAGTGACATTATTACTTGCTGGAAGAAAAATACTTCTACTACAACAACAACAATTTTTTTTAAAAACCTGTTTCTACAGGTCATTTAACAATTTTTTGCGGGCTCTGTGGTTGTTTTTACCATTAGTCATCAGGATGTGAAGTTTCTTGTTTCCCAAGTTAGCAGCAAAGCATTCCACAAAGCACCCAGATCTCTGCAGAAGGTCACTGTGGTCCACTGCTTCCAAAGGAAGGGAGTGTAAGACTCATCCTTCTCATCCTTCTTGTAATGCCTTTCGGACAGCCTTATTTTTGCCTCTGCAGTTTATAGAGCAGCCACTTGAGARTTGTTCCTGAATGGAAAAGGCTCACTGAACCTGTAGCTCCTGTTGTACCGGTAGCTGGCTCTGCCCTGTGCATGTGAATCATTACTGGTGCTTTTGCTGTATGCAGCTCCTGGGGCCTTTGGGGCTGTGTCTCCCACAGTTCCTGGCCCTGGGTCCAGGTTCATGTGAATCAATACATGTACTAATACTAGTCTTTATATAGACTGTTTCAGAGCCATTCACGTACCAGTCCTGAAATTCTAAATTGAATATCCTAAACTAAGCACAATATTTGGGACTAGGTGGGAAGCACTCCCGTTTGGATTCTTTGAATGAGCAGGTTTGTGATGGCTGCCTATCATGTGGGTGAAGTTAAGCTAAGGTGCTTTTCTCCTAATTAAATGTATCATTAAAGGCTTATCTAGTACATGAAGCTTTACAGATATTTTTCACACAGGTGTGAACTTCGAATACATTAACATGTGGCTACATTCCAAAGAGGGAAAAAAGTGAGCCTCTCAATATCCATTTGGTTTGCACACCAAAATTTCAGTGAACTCAGAGCACTCTACCATGTCCCAGAAAACAAATGGGCTCATTCATCGGATTTAGCCTTCTCAGATTCACAAAAATTCAACACCAACTAAAGCGAAGTATTAATAGTTTGGAGCTTTTTCATGGAAAGAAGAAGTGATTTCCTGAATTTCTGAACATGAATGAATCTTAAATACGAGCCATGAATTACAGTATACTGCCAGAGCCAGGCATCTCTAATATACACTGTCTGCCCAAGTAATCACAACTTGAATAGTAATTCAAATTAGTTTTAAAAATAAAAGTCTACCAAGTTTTTAAATCCTCTCTACAAAGATCCTGCTTTGCCATAAATCAATACCTTGAAAGCTTTAGAAAAATAGTGCTGCTGATAAATCAATAATCAATTATGAAATTAATATAAGGTGTATGGTACAGGGGATTATGACAAGTACTTCATCTTCTTTCACCCAATGTGTATAGTTAAAATAGACAGGTATAGATATAGATTATATAGATTTTAGAGATTATATAGATTATATAGATGATAGAGATAGACATAGACATAGACATACGCAGATAGTTATAGATCGACAGATATAGATAGATGCAATCAGGGCCCACTGCAGACATCAGAGAGGTAACACTTGTTTTCAGCAGGGCAAAATAAATAAAGCACAACATTTCCACTAGAACACCTCAGAGGAAAATGTCAACAAATAATTCATCACAAATCTGCAGATGGAAGGAAATCACAAATGCAATGAGAATGCAATTAAGAAAAAACGAGTGTAAAAATTTGCAAGGAACATTCTGTAGCCAACCCAGAGATGGCATGACTCCATAAGGAGCCCTTCATATGCTTATACTGGGAAAAAAACCAAATTGCTCGTATACAAAGAGCTTGTGAATAAAATGGAAATAAAATGAAAATAAGTTAATACAATTCACAATAAATTCACAGACACAGAAAAGTAGGTCTATAATTAAAGCTTTGATTTCTCCTTTCAGAAAATCGGGAAATTAGTGAGTTGTCTGAATAAAGGAGCCTGAGGATTTCAATTTAGAAGAAATGCAGAATTATATTAGCTTTAAAGCACAAACAATGCTACATTGATTAGTATGAAGTGGAAATTAAAGAGGATCTAAATCCACAGTTTCTTACAAGACAACTATCATTTATAAAAATTCCATGCTTTTCACTTCCTGTGCACTCTTTTTTTCTTTTTCCTCTAGTTCAGCTACCATCGCAGGATGCTAAGAAGTTTCAGTCCTTACAGACCAGTGCAGTTATTCTCCCACCAGCTCCAGTCTCCAGATCTCAGAAAATAGGACAGTCTCAGAGTCATATCCTCTATCCTGTCTTGCCTGGTCTATCAGGAGAGCCTCTGAAACCCAGCTGTGTCCTACCTGCTATCCCAAACCAGAAGAAATCTAATCCTGCAGGAGAGCTTGAGAAATCACTCACCAAATCAGATGCTGAAAATTAACTCATTACACTGGCCTAAATCAGTTGAAATATGTCTAAAACAATCAGCTGAAATATGTCTAAGTGGTTGTTAAAAGATAACTGTACAATAAATCTCATTAATTTGCATTAGTGATACTCTTGTGAAGTGTAATCCAAGAAACTATAGCACATCACAAAAGCCACACTCTCTCTGTGTATATATATATGCATTTTCATTATAGCTTTCACTTAAAATGAAATTACTAAATCAATATATAATGTGCAGTAAACTTATTTTGTGAATGGAACCCTCATAAGATGTGATTTTGTTGCAGCAACGTGMTGTTAAGCCTTCCATGGAAAGAAGAAATAGAGTGATTTTGAAGTTGGAACTAGGGAAACATATTGATAGGGTTTCTTCATATTTTTAAGTGCAAAGGTGCTGATTCTGATGCTGTGTGCCATCAAAAAATATTTTTAAGATTAAGAAAATAAACTTAGAATAAAAGGCAATATTAGCAATTGAGGTATTTTGTCTCTGGTTTTTTTATATTTTCTAAATTGTAAGTGTCTGGGTTTTGTGTTTTCAACAAGCTAAAAATGTGCAATGAAACACTAATGCCTTTGGGACAGACTGGGTTTTAGTATGCACTGCTCAAAACTGGTGATTTTACTGACAGATTTATGTCGTATTTAATTCTTCATACTCCTCAGTGACAAAAATGCAATTGTCTATTGTTATCTTCATAAAACAAGAATCGAACAGTCCTGAGTTTTTAGGCATTATTTCTTTGATCACTGAACTGAAAGAAATTTAACTAGACATTTAGTTAATTTAGCTGTTCAGTCAAGAACCTTTGCAAGTGGTATAAGCCTTTGACTAAACATTGCACAAGACTGCCCTTCCTAGAGTCTAACAAAGACGCCAGCCTCTGCTTGCTTCAGGGTTCTTATCTAAGCCTTTTTGAGACTACTTTAGAGGCTCCTCCACTTCTGATTATAGAGAGGCTGAGGGCTGGGGGAGGTAGTCCCCTTTTGTCACCCTTCTGTATAACCACTTCCAGTAAGCCAGTCCAAAATTAGCTCTACATCAGCAGCTCATTCAACAAGGACATGCCACTTCTGTTTATCTCTAGATAAATATCTTATTAGCTGTACAAACATTTCTTTTGCTGTGTCACAGTGAAAGACAAACCTGACATGAAGACAATAATCCTGTTCCAGTAGCTGCAGTTTCCAATTTCGTTGCGCTAACGACTGTAAATAGGATTGCTGGTGGCTGTCACAGACAGTCCCAGAAAGAAAAAAGCAGAGCACAACAACAGCTGCTGTGATGCAACACAGAGAAGAGGGAACTTTTGCACACAAATAGAAGAATATTTTATTTTTAAACATTTCACCCAAATGTCAGGATATAAAGCTCAAATTCAATGAGTGATACAAACATCTAGCTTCTTGATGAAAAACATGAGACTAAAAAGCTCGGACATATTTGGACTTCACAGACAACCTACCCCTTGAGGCCAGATGGAAGAAACACTGCATGACAGAYACACGCTCTGTTAAAAGAAAAATCAGTTATTGCATGCTCTGTCTTTACACCTGACCAGTTCTGTTCACTCTAGCCTCACTGAAAAGTCCAGGATCTCTCATGCAGTGTAGCAGACTCGTATTTGCTCCACGAGGTCACTGCCTCAGCTGCTCTGCTCTACAGAGCCCCTGAGCTTCTATGCTGGAAACTCTACCTATTGCAAGCCCCAAAATCTCTATCCTGATTTATGCCACTTTGTACCTCTCCCTGTGGCCCCACACAGTAGACAAATGGTTCATGAGTAACTTCCTAGAAATATTAAAGCTTCAGTGCAGACTTTATGCCACTACCACTTGGCACAATGCAAATGGTTTTGGTGCACACTGCACAAAAGGAAAGAAAATCTAATTCATACAGGTCTGGCCATCACAGACTCTTCATAGAATAAAAGTCTAAAGAAACCATTCTGGCAGAGATTAATCATGTTTAGTTCAACAGACTGCTCAGGGAGTGGGTATGGCACGTGGAAGAAAGGAAAGAACAACTGGCACAACAAGGAAATCCTAGTGAGGACAAACATTTGTACCTCCATYGCCACATTAGCCCTTTTCAGGGGTCTGGAAACCATGCCTTTAGCTATCTACTGGGACGCCTCAAAAGAAGCTTGTCACATGATGCAACTCCAGTTTTTTCTGAATGAAAGGGGATCCTCATTGCTCCTGCTGGATTTGAGAGAGGAGGTGAATCTCTCTCATTTTTTGCATTGTCCTTCCTGTCCAGGGCAACCATAAAAGCTGTGGTGGCACACATTTGTTGGCCAGCTGCTGTTCTATGCTGGAGACAAAGAGAGAAGAGCAGCCTGTGTTGGCTTCCCATAAAGGCTTGAACAAATTTCAAATGTTTCCAGAATTACGGCAAAAGAGAAAGGGAGAGAAATTCCCCCATGCCTTAGGCTAGACACTTCCATTCCCAGAAAGGAAGCAATCAGATTTCTGGTTTTCCTGTTCAGCAGTGCTTTGTTAAGGCAGCAAGGGTGGACAAAGCTGAATAATGAACAATTTCTGATCAACGATAACACTGATTTTCAAATGAAATTCCTTCAAAAATGCAGAATTTCAGGTGCAGTCACTTGCTACCACACACATTACCACTTTTTATGCAATGTATTTGTGTGACAGAAGGCAGCAGTTAGGTGAATTATGCCTATCATTTGCCCCTTTTTTCTCACCTTTTTCTAGGAATGAATGTTTTCTTCTGTGGGTCTGCAACCCAAAAAAARGCTTTTTCAGGAAAGGAACACAAATCCAATTGCCTGTTCAAAGGTAGGCATAGAATACAGTTCTTACCTGAATAGAGTCAGTTTTAAAAGCTGATACTCTGAACAAAGATCCAGGTCACTTTTCTTCTGTCGACTGTCAATAAGGAAGCAGTTGGTGATTTACCAAATACAGGTCTTTTAAAAATTAATGCTCGTAGAAAGCATTAAAAATTATTCTCAGAAACATTCCCATCAGAAACTGTTCTTATCTTTTGAGATTGGTTGCCAAATTCTACAATAAATGAACATGACAAATCAAGGTGAAGTATTTCACCTTCAGAGGAGAGCAGTCTGTTGACTGCAGCATACTGCATGAAAGATAACAAATGAACCGATACCTACTTAAGCTGCTCTGACCTCTTGCTCAGACCTTTCCTGGAAGATAATGGCTGGAGAGACAATAAAAGACTAACACTGTTGATTAGCAATTGCCAAGAAATGTCTGGTTGGTAGTCATGACAGAGACTTTTTTCCTCTGTCTAGTGATTAAATAATCCTGGCACTAGTTCTCGAACACTAGTGGAGTGTTTACTCACACTGTGAAGTATTCAGGTGTCTGGGGAATTCAGCTTGGCACAAGAAAATATATACACACACAGGATATATTTGCTGAAAAAAAAAGCACAGTATATCTCCTCACTGGCATACACTCTACATTCCTTATACCAKTTCTATGAATATCATTTAAAAATGTTTTTAAGAACAGTGCAGCTTTTATTCCTGCAGACCATTTACTTATACACTGATACTGAAYAGACTAAACCACTCTTCCAGGAAACTGTGCAGGTGATTAGCCTTAGTCCATTATTTAAAACAGGGGAAAACATTCACATGTAAAACAAAGGGTCACCCAGTATTATGAAGCTCATTCAAAGGCTATTCTATGCTGAGCAGAATATCTGATGAGCAGACTAATTTTTTTTATATAAATACCTACAGAGGARGTCATATCCTCTAAAATTCAGTCCCAATAAAGCATTTTAAATACCCCTATCATTGACAAASATCTCTGTTCCCTCACCACTTAATACACTGCATTCTGCTGCCATCACCAAAGGATTGTCTACGCAACCCATACATTATTCCACTTCAAGACATCAGAAGCATCATAGTTACCACTTCAGGACATAAAASTATGTCGACTTTTCAGACAATTCTAAGAGGACTTTAAAAGCTCATGTGATCCTAGTGTCATCATGACTTGTCATACCTCTTCCTCTGCATCTGCATTTTAATAATGATTTAGAAGAAATATTGAAAGCATATATTATTTGCTGTTGTATTCTAAAGATGGAATATTTTCCTCATTATTTTTAAAAGGTTTTTCCTATGATTCAGAGAATCACAGGAAATTCCTTGGATTCTGAGATTTTTCTGCACTGGCCCTGTAGGTGGAAAAGCTTACCATTATCACAAAGCCAGTTTAGACCAGAGTTTGTCCAGTGTCCAGCCTAAGAGCCTCCTCAGACCAAGGGCACATAGTACTTGATGCGAAACACTTGACACAGAAACAAAAATCAACTCCATGACTGTCAGGATCCTAAAGTCCAACTGCTCCTCACAGTCAGCCAACACTGACAAGGGCCTGCTTGAGGCAGCTGCCACTGAGCCAGTAAGGTCACAGAATCACAGCATCGCTGTATGATCAGTTTGGAAAGGACCACAGTGGACCACCAATCTGATCCAGCGTTTCTGCTCCCTTACATTGTGCAGTGTTTTGCAGTTAAGTTTCCATTCCCCATTTCACTGTTTGTGGTGCTTTAGTGTACTTGGCATCATGGTGTGACTTTCCACAGCTCTGCAAACACCCAGAAGATCCTGCAGTATCAGGGGTATGTTCATACCTGTCTAAGAGGATTATCTGACTCCACATATGTGCCTTCCTGCACCTTTGCACAGCATTCTGTGCTCAGCAAGTGGAGTTCCATCCCTTGGAAGAAGAATGTGGCAGAGCTCCTTGTATCACACAGCAGTTGAAACTGCTGTTTCAGCAGACTGAAACTGTCTGAATGCACTAATGCACCAAGAAAAGGCTTGGTCCAGCACTCCCAAAATGTCTCTGTAGCTATCATCACAGCTACAAAAATACCCACAGTCACAGTCTTTCCTATCAAGATTACCTCTGGAAATTAGTTTGGTAAGAGTGGAACTGAGGGGAAGCAGCAAGAGAAGCAGATGCCCTCTCACACACAGTTTCACAAACTTCAGCTATACTTTCAGCTTGCCAACTGAACTGAAAGCAGCTTTGCATGCACACCAAAAGCTGTGAAGGGAGACCTTCCTATAGTGCATGAGTAGCTGGCAGCAGTTAAATAATTTAAGAGAAACAGCACTGTGTCTTTCACATACAGAAGTTGAGGGTATATATAATCTGAGGAAGGAAGAAATGCAAGGTCTGACCAGAAATGCTGGTTATACAATACTGTGTAAAGACTGCGTCTTTGGTTTATATAATTCATCAAACCTGTAGTGTTTCTAAAGTSATTCTTGCAGTAGACTCTTAGAAGTAAGCAGAGATTTATTAGTAATAGATAAACCAAACAGTTAAATTATTCCGTGAATCCAAAKGGAGGCTCTGCCACCCCTTCTGTCAAATTCCTAGCATCCAAGAGACGTAATTTTTTTACAGATCTAGAGGTCTGGAGCTTCTTAAAGATTTGTTCACCCTCCAATTGTTGATACTAAGAGACATCCTGTGTAGGAAGTTCATCAGAAAAGAGTTGGATGCTTTTGAAAATTCTAATACTTGAAACTCTAAAAGTATTTTTCTGTGCTATGACCTCTCCTGTTGTCATGTACAGTGTTTTTTCCACAGTTCACTATCTTGTGATCTTATGAAGATTTTCCTCCCATTGTTGATTTGAGTCATTTGTTCCATAAAATGTCCTAGAAACTACAGACTGGAATCACTTGAAGTTTGTCATTGTCTCTGTAGTCTTTCTCTCTTAGCTAAACATTTTTAGAGGATTCATTTTCCTGTAAATAAATTCACCATCTTTTCTCCTTTTTTGTGTCGATTCCAAGACATGTCTTGGAAAGCTTCCTCTGATTTGTCACTGCTCAGGTTTCTTCATGAAACACACATGTCCACTGAAAGGGTTCATTATAGTTAATACACATGGAAATTTCCACGTAATGACTTGTCACAGGCATAGRCCAAGAGGAACAATTTGTACCCTTGCTGTCCTTCTACTTCCTTCTGTTCTGTTGGGGCTTTTTTTATGCCTGATGAATTTACATCAGGATTTTATTGTTTTCACTCCTGCACACATACCTACTGTACAGTTAATCAAATGCCACATTTATAGGCATTTTAAAAGCATAGGTCAAGCCTCTCCAACTCTGATGTAGAGTTCATACTACTTAGTTTCAGAAACGCAAAATTCAATGGGTCAGGACTTTCAAACACCATCTTCTTACTATGGCAATTGTTACAGATAACAGAAAGAAATACTTTTCCAAATTCTTTTTCACAAAGAAAATTTCATTTGACTGTCAGAACGATCAACACTAGTTTTCAGAGTAATTTTTGCAAATGTAAGAGCAGCACATGTYGAACAAATGTAAAAAGTACAGTGTAAAACTGGCAGGAATCAGGGTAAGTTCTTTATGCAAATTTTTTTTTWAAAGCAAGTACCAATTTTTGCACACTTATGGTGTTTTCTGGTAAGGTGGCAGACAGGAAGATAGTCTGCTTTCACAGAGGTTTTAGTTTCCTCTCAGCTCTTATGTGAGCAATCGCTTACTAAAATCAACAGAGATCTTGTAATAAACTGGAGGATATATTTATACATTCTTATTAAATCAAGCACTTAACAAAAAAGTAATCATTCCATCACTGAAACCTTCCCAGCAGGCTAGTAAATAGTATTAGCCCAATGTCACATATGAAGAAACTCAGGCAGAAAGATTAGACATTAAACTTCCAATAGTGACTTCTTACATCTGAGGCTGGTGGGGTCTAAGTTCAGTGCTGAAATGTTAAACTTCTGAACAGTGGCTTATATATTCCCTCCTTACAGGAACTTGCTTTGAGTGTTCAGTATTTATGACAGTCAGGTGAAGGAGTGCAGGAAGCAATTTAAGGGCTGAAACATAAAGATGATAAATGGTTCTTCTCAGGGCACAGTGCAGTCAGTCTGACAGCATATCTTGACCACTGGCCTATGCTTATTCTTGACCAAGAACCATCTTGGCCAGCTCAGCTGCAAGGCTTTTGCTAGAGAGTATGTAGTAGTCACAGTGCTATCCCTGACAGACTAAAAAGTAACAATACCCAATGGCAATGGACAATTCACTCAGAACACTGGGAAACTTAGCCCAGAAACGCAGTTTCAGAGCAGTAGGAAAGGAATGGAAACAGCCTGTATCTTCAGGAAAATTAAGTGCCAACCTTTTCTTGGCAGTTGTTTCGTGTGATTACCCTCTGGGCTAGGAAAGGCTCAGAGTTGCCAGCTGAAATTAGCTCTTCCTTTGTCTTCTTGATCCTCCTTGTCCTCTCATCTCCTTAATCTCCTTAGATGATGGAAGAGAATGGGCAGAGATTCTGAAGTCACAGTACCACTCTGCCATCCCCGACTACAGAAAAGAGATTAAACAAACTAATCCACAAAGAGCACCTTTCCAGCTACTCTCCTGACAAGTTTTGTGAATTCTAACTGAACCCATCACATAATTCTCATCATCACAATGGGCAGTTTTGTTTCACATTATCTAGCTGGTATCCAAATTAAAATGCTGCTTCCTTGTAGTACCACCCACAAACGGACACCAGACATGGTACAAGTGGTCAGCAAAACCTCTTTTGGGCAGCACCCTTTGGTAAGCACCTCAGCACAACATTTTCACCCAAACAAGATGCTGGGTGAATGGCACTTGAGAATGCAGAGCCATATTTATAAGCTAATTATGGCAAAATGAGGAGGGCATGATGGGGTTGTCATGCTCTCCACATGCACCAAATGGAAAACCCTCACAGAAAATCTAACTCACCAGCTCACTTGTTCTTTAACTTGCCTTTAAGATTAAAAAGGCCAGTGCTAACAGTGCTTACAACTGGCTTCTGTGAGCTGAAGCAAAATTATCAGCTCAAATCACAGAGGCCACTAGAAATCTATGAGTTCAGTTCATACTGACACACTCTGCTTTAGCCAAAAGGCTGGTCAGAAAAGTTTATCGTATTACTRTGCCAACCAAATACAGATATGAAAATAAAATCCACATTAGCTGACTCCCTTGTTTAACACTCTAAACTTCATGATACAAGTTTACTAAAACAAATGTTGGGCTTAGCTCAACAATTGGGACTGTTCAAACTAACAAGTATGAATTGCTTCAAGGGATGACTTAATCTATCCTAATTCAGAACATGAACTCTTGTCACTGCACTAAACATCACTTGTTCATGGTTTTCTTTYAATGTTCTTGCACCAGTAGCAGCTTTACTTATATCCTGGTCCATCTTCACAACATTGTCAAAACTTCAATTCATATGAATTTCTGCAACTTTACAGTCTGCAATAGCGTGATAAATTCTGAATTCCACATAACAGTTTGGGACATTTTTTCTSTTGGTTGCTATGCATAATCATATTGTATTATTTAACTTAGTAACAATAATACATTGACAGCCAAGTYACTTTGTTTTTCCCAAGTATTTTTCAAGAAAAAATTAAACCCCTGAAGTTGAGAGATGTCTGAGATCTGAGTCAAAAYGTTCTCTAAATAAACAGACCTTCAAAGAAATGCCACCACAGGTGTGAACTACCTCCTTTCAAGCATATCTACCAACAATTTCAATCCTAGTGTTAGTCTGAGAAACAGTCTTTCAAGCTATTTTTAAATATACTTTCATAACAGAAATGTCTCAGCTCAAAAGAGAATTTTTACAGAGAAAAAGTCCCAGTGAGAGGCCAAAGCTCAAGGAGAATTTARTCTGTCTACTGCTGTAAAAGACAGTAAAAAATGTTACTGTACATATATCAGCAACAAGAGAGGTAAGGATAATCTCCATTGTTTGCTAGATGTGCAGAGAAACATTGTGACAAAGGACRAAAAATAGATGAGATATTTAATGCCTTATTGTCTTTCATAGCAATACCAGTTTTTCTCTGGATACCTAGCCCATTGAGCTAGAGGACAGGGRTGGGAGCAGAAAGAAGCCCCCTTAATCCAAGGGGCATAGCCAATTACCTGCTACCCCACAAGTCTATGTGGTTAGATGAAATCCACCCAAGGGTATTGAGTGATCTGGCAGAAGAGCCCACCAAGTCATTTTCCATCACTTACCAGTAATYCTGGCTAACCAGGTTGGTCTCAGCTAACTGGAGGTTGGTAAATATGAYGCCCAAATACATGACAGGCTGGAAGGATTTGCAGAACTAGAGGCCTGTCAACCTGACCTGAATTCTGGGAAGGTCATCTTAAACGTTATCACTGTACTTGCAGGACAACCAGAAGATTGGGCCTAGCCAGCATGGGTTTATAAAAGRTAAGTCCTGCTTGACCACCTGATCTCCTGAGGAAGAAGCTGTGCATGTTGTCTGACTGAYTTCAGTAAAGCCTTTGACAGCATTTCCCAAAATAATCTCCTGGAAAAGTTGGCAGCCTGTAGCTTGGACAGGGGCACCCTTCATTGGGTAAAAACTGCCTAGATAGCCAGGCCCAGAGACTGGTGGTGAATGGGGTTACATCCAACTGGTGGCCAGTCACGAGTGGGGTTCCGCAGAGCTCAGTACTGGGGACAGTTCTGTTTAATATCTTTATTAATGATCTAGATGARAGGATTAAGTGTACCCTCAGTCACTTCACAGATGGCACCGTGTTAGGTGGGAGTATTGATTTCAGGAAGGCTCTGCAGASRGMTCTGGACAGGCTGCATCCATGGGCTGAGGCCAATGGGGTGAGGTTCAACAAGGCCAAGGGCCGGGTCCTGCCCTTGGCTCACAACAACCCCAGGCAGTGCCACAGGCTGGGACAGAGGGGCTGGAAAGGACCTGGGGGTGCTGTGACAGCAGCTGAACATGAGCCAGGGTGTGCCCAGGTGGCCAAGAAGGCCAATGGCATCCTGGCCTGGATCAGCAATGGTGTGGCCAGCAGGAGCAGGGCAGGGATTGTCCCCCTGTCCTGGGCACTGCTGAGGCCACACCTCSAGGGCTGTGTCCAGTTCTGGGCCCCTCCCTGCARGAAGGAACTGAGGGGCTGCAGCGAGTCCAGAGAAGRGCAACGGAGCTGGGGAAGGGTCTGGAGCACAAATCCTGTGAGGAGCAGCTGAGGGAGCTGGGGGTGTTCAGCCTGGAGAAAAGGAGGCTCAGGGGTGACCTTCTCACTCTCCACAACTTCCTGAAAGGAGGCTGTAGCCAGGTGAAGGTCAGCTTCTCACAAGTAACAAGCAATTGAACAAGAGGAAATGGCCTCAAGTTGGACCAGGGGAAGTTTAAGTTGCATAMTAGGAAAACTTTCATCATGAAAAGGTGTCATTGTCATTGGCACAGGCTGTCCAGGGAGTCACCATCCCTTAGGCTGTTTAAGAGATAGGTAGATGTGGCTCTTCATGGCATGGTTAGTGTTGGACTTAGCAGTTCTGGATTAACAGTCAGACTCAATGATCTTAGTGGTCTTTTCCATCCTAAACAACTCTGTGATTCTATGACATTTTTCCTTTGGCAACCATTTGGATTTCTTCAAGAGTCTAAATTTTGCAGAGGAGTATTCCTTTCTTCTGTTCATGGGTRGCTCCTGATAGTAGCCAGCACTGTTCCTCCAGCTGTTGAATTTTTATCTGCATGACAGGATGAAGAGTAGCAACTCCTCAACGYCAACAATAGAGTAATAGTGATTTATTACTGGAAATAACTCATGAACTCRTTACAGCAACCATGTCACAACATCAAGTGCCTGTAATTAGCTGCAGTACATTAGGGTATGGTGTACCACCTCACTGTAATGACATGCATTTGTTCTGGCTGATTTTTGGACTAAAACTTTCAGTCTGTCATTTTTAAGTCGATTATCCAGTCTTCCTGGGCAGGTCTCCCAGAGCATATAGTCTTTTCTGTACAATGACCAAGAAAACATTGAATACTTGGTGATGTGGGGTAGATGGGTGTGGTTTGGTTTTGTTTTTAATGGTAAAGGAGTGTCAGCTGAATGTTGAAGTTCTGGAAAAACAGAAATGGCTATCTCAGATGGCCAGTTAATTTCTTCTGTATACTCTGAAAAAAAAAAAAAAAGTCACTTTCRTTATAAAAATGGTCTATCACATTTTCTGTAGTGGTGTCTTCAATGGATTAGTAAGGTATGTTATTTTAAAATCAGAACTTGCTTCCTGACACATACACTTGCCATCCCAACCTCTGCAAAGAGGAAATGGTATAGTTCAACAGAACACAGCAGCACAGCAACAAAATGGAGCTCAATGTGTTGAGCTCTAAGCCCCTTATGTCTATAGAGAAGCATGCTGGAAAGCTCTTGTAAGGAGGAAGGAAGGAACTGAGGAAAAAACACATGATGTCCTGTTTCCAAGCTCACCCTCATGATGCCATTTGAGTTAAATGAAGAATTTTCACAGAGGTATTCACGCTAGTTTTGAGAGCTACAAATACTGCAAGGAGACTAAGTGACTAGAAAATAAACCTAAATAAGATACATGAAAGGTAAGCAGCACGGTCTCTGACTCGATCTGAGTATTTTTAGTGAGTATCTGCTTCCTACATGCAAAGAAACAAGAATCCTGTTTCAGCTTTTKTATACAAAAATGGGGACCTGCTTTCCAGATAGAGCCAGAGGAGCTTATTGATTCTCCTCCCTCTGTCATTCTAAGAGTTTCTCTCTTCTGGTGGATTCCTGTTCATACTGACCAGCATTAATGTAGCTCATTCATATAACACTTCCAGAATGTGTCCTTGATAYACCCAAACTGTTTAGCACCACACAGCTTTGCTATACTGTGCCAGGACTATGCTAACAGTTTGGACTTTTTGGGAATACTTATCCAGTTTAAATTAAGATCTTACTGTAAAATACTTTTAATAATCTCTGGCAGGAGTTTAATAAAGTAAGCAATAAATACGTCTGTAAAAGAGTTGAATGTCACAGAGAAGTAGGGCACATGACAATAATCTGCATTACAATGTCTAAAAGAGCAACCATTTTGGCTGTGATTTGTGTGGTTAGCTTATACACACACACACACACACACAAAAGACAAATTCCATTATGTAAAATATTCTTTCACTTTTTGCAGTCAGCATAACTGGAAATACAGCTTGTGGCAGAAGCCAGCATTGTCTCAGTCTGCATGCATCCTCTCCCAAGCTGCAGGCAAATCTTTTGCTATTCATTCTTATTCCATTAGACTCAATTGCATTAAAGTGCATCTTTTATACATAAGATGTGACTATTTATTTAACTGCTCATAATTTATTTCCTCATATCAAAGTAGCACCTAGACATTCCAGTGAAGTTTTAAATGTCATTGTGCCTCTTACTTTGCAAATACTTTACAAGAAATAGACCCTGCAATCCCCATATTTATAACTGAAAAGAGCAGGCTACACAAAGGGGGAAAATTAAACTATTTTGGTCAAGGTGATATGGCAAAGATATCTTGGTTGGTTTCTTGATTCCACCATACATATTGGTAGCAAATTTCCGAAGTTGGAAACATGATGCCCATTTGCAGTTAATTACTGAAAATGGTGGTATTCTCAAGTCATCCATTAATATCAGTCATTCTGGTTATGAGACATACCGAACCCTTGTAATGCTGATAAGCTACTTTAAGCCTCAGAGGGGGGTGCATTTTAGCAGTGGATAAAGCTTGATTATCTCATATGCATAATTCTCTGGACTTTCTCTAACTATTAACTATTTTCAAATCAATGGTACCAGCCTGTGCTCCTTCAAACATGTCGGCAATGTATATAAACTAAGAAATCCACCTTCTTTTAACAGCTACATAGCTTCATTCTTTCRAAGAATATTTTACCGAGTGTTCTTTAGTCTTCCTGCAGAGCATCTCTCACCCTTTACCTTGTTCATGTTACTATTTTTAGAAGCCAGAGATGTAAACATATTCTCTAAAATGGAAGATTGCAAGGCCAGTTGAAAAGTACAGCTGTTGGAATTCTTACACATGGTGGTATAAAAATCATTGTAGAAGAACATGGGACCAGTCAAAATCAAGTAGTGATTTAGCTTCAAATGGTCCAGTCAATTCTAAAACAATGTTTATAGAGGTCTGGGATGCTATTGCACTATAAAACATACTGGTAGATAAGTACAGCAGAACTTTCAGAACGCTTTATGACTCATGTCACAAGAGCCTCAAGATACATTTAGTATAAATTCTTCATGTTTTGCTAGTAATTTAAATTATTTTCTAGATTTTTACCATCTTTTCCAGGCTCACTTACACTCCTGAGGTAAAGAGAAAAATGAAATACAAGCTCTATGAGTGTTTCTCTTAGAGAAGAACATTACAAGAAGCAAAGAGGAAATGCTGTAATCAGCACACACAAGCTTTGAATGATTTAATACAGAAAGTGAAAATAGAAATACAAATCTGTTYCTCCCCAAATATTTCCTGGCTTAAGGCAAAGTCAAATTTGTGTCTGAACAGTTACTTCCAAGGTAGTCCAAATGTTTCTATTTTAAAAAAAAAATCATAATTTTTTTTTAAAAATCACAAAAAATTATACTTCTTTTCCCCAGTGCTTTTAGGAAAAAAAATGTTTCTCTGTCACAGGGTTTAATACTTAAGGCCAGCTAGAAAATGTGGCAGCTGTTCAACAACTGTTTGAGGTGAATTGTAGACAAAAGTACTTTTATWTGTGGAAATTCAGCCCTCCCATTTCAAACCAGAAAACCAGGCAAGATGCCAGGAGCTAGAGGCTGTAGYATGTTTTGAAGGGGGAATTCACCTGCCAAATCATGAGCTTGTTGAGCACTCCATGACTTTCCACATCCCCTCTTCCAGAATAGACTCTGAAACAGCCTCTGCTTGTGTTGTAGCCTGGAAGGATTAGAAACCGTGACCTATTCCCATGATCCTTCCCTAGACTTTTCCCACCAATGTTATTTTGAGTATATTCTGTGTCCTGTATAATAATTTTTATGCATACAGAGACTTCTATCATGCAGCTACACTACTCACAGCCTTTCTTAATGTAAGACTGAAAAKTTTCAGAAACACTTATGACAGCTTTCTAAACTACACTGACTTCWGTCCATTCAAAACTGATTTAATACCTGATCTAGATGAATCAGCTGATGAATAAAATGGGAAGGCAGACTTCCTGTTTCCAATAATTATTTAACCACAAAGTTTAGATCAATGTTTCTATTTAATTTCTTATCTGTACTTCCTGGGCTCAGAACTGAATTGTTTCAGTGGAAATTTAGTAGTCTGTCTGCTGAGAACACTACCTAGGTAAAACTTCTGAGTGAGCCACAAAACATGTAAAAACATTGACTGGAAAGCACCCGTTTTTCTTCTTTCTGACATTACAATAAGCAGGTGAACTAAAGCACCATCTTCAGCACCCTTAAAAGTAAACCACTTCAGCATAACTTCAACTTAGCTTCACTGGTTTCCCAACACAGCTAAGTGCATGAAGAGTTTGTGCTTTCCAGTCTTACAGTGGTATTGATTAATACATTTAGAGTATAAACCCTGTATATTGAGCAGCTGAGGAAGCCAGGTCACTGACATAATGCACTACCAAACCATTGTGTTTTCTTTATAATTCTACAAGTCTCCATAGCATGCAAATTTGACACTCTTCCAAACCAGAGGGACAACTACAGACAATATTGCAGTGGGGACTTTTCATTTTTTAAACAATTCTTCTCTTGGAATTAAGCACTATTTTGCTCTTCCTGTAATCTGGAGCAACTGCCTGTTTTCTCAGTTGTAACTGTCAGCCATGGTTAGCAGAGTTTTCATGAATACAGAGCTGTCTGAAGCATGGAAGAAGACTTGGAGTATCTCTTTAGAGCAGACTCATTCYAGAGACTATGCTTCTGTTTTTATGGCATAGTCAGAGCAATACAAAGTAAGAAAAGCAGCAGCATCTATGATCACCAAGATCTTTATGATCATCAAGAAGCACAGCCATGAAAGAAACCCTTTTTGAAACGTATTATTCCAGTGGTATCTTGTTTCATTATAGCTCTTAAAAAAAAAAGAAATGGGCATTCTTTGGAAATGTGCTGAATGTGAGGAAAATGGAACATTCTTCCCCATCTGCTGGAAATACTCTAAAGTAAACAAGGGTGCTAAGTACTGGGYAGAAATACTGGAAGTAATTTTTAAAAATAACACAAAGGCAGATGCCAATGGAGGCCCCTGGTCCTCCGCCTAGGCTTAGCACTGGAAAGAAATTACGGTTTGGGAAAATCTACAGAYAGCTGCCAGATGGCTAATCATGGTTAGTGGAGAACACAAAGAGCTTTGCCTGATGAACAGGCTTAGAAAAATAACAGATGTCCCAAAAAAAGAGAAAATTTTACAGATTCTGCAAAGTCTGGAGTCACTGTAAATTTATACMGTCTGGTTCATAAGTCAAACCCTTCATTTAAATACAAGACCTTGCTTAGATGTTGATTGTCGTCTAGGAAATAGACTGCTAGGAAAGGCTTTAGCAAACTTGGATCTGAGAGGAATGGTTCAGGATTTAACTATACTACTAGTATACCACAACCAAYATGAGACTAAGATGATCAAATTAACCAAACTCCTCCTGCTGTTTAATTAGGTGGGCTAGGAAGCATTTCCATACCTACATTAGACATTAGGTGACATTGTATTAGTCACCTAATATACCTTAGGAAAGTCAGCAAATACAATCATCAATAAGAATCCAAAGAAGTGACCTAGGTAATATAACGCATTCATGATAATTAGAGAAACCTGTTTAGATTCACAGAAGAGTGAGTTGTATGTCCATTGTATCAATATTAAAAAAAAACCAAAAACAAACAAACAAACAAACAAAAAAACCCAGAGGTCCTAATATTAGAAACAGAGAAGATTAAACATTGAAATTTGCTGATTTTAAAGAAATCTATTGCTTAAAGCAATTTATTTGAAGCATTATTTGGCTTAGGTAAACAATAAAGGACAAATTTTCTTTTCCTTCCAGTAGCTAAAATTGATAAAATTGATATAGTACCCTGAATATCATTGAACCATGTTTGTATCTCTCCAAAAATCTTGTTCCTTGTTTTTTCCTCCTTTTTACCTTGACAGTTGTGGCCCTTTTCACATAACTTATTTTGTTGTTATTTTCACTCATTCTTTTTTTAGCACTAGGGCTTGAAATAGGAAGTGGATTCACTGTGTTTCCTTTCCTTTCAAGCTGTATGTCAGTCAGTCAAGCAGTTAGCATCCTGCCCTTCACCATTACACTGTAGCTTCATTTCAGAAAGAAATTGACACTAGTACGGTCATCCATGCTTCAAAAATCAAGATATGTTTCAAAAATCAACTGTACTGAAAAGATATACATTGTAGAAAATGCACCATTAAAAGCTGAAAATGTAATGACCTCTGTTGCTCTGACATTTCTTTATAGTTGGGATAGATTCAATTTACTTACCTGGGTAGCTCATTTTTTGGAAAACTGAGGATGAAAACTGACCTGCTAGAAGACAATGGAAAAAAAAAAAACTAACTTCACTGAGTATAGAATTTCCTTGTATTTCTTTTACCTATTAAATTTTTCCAAAGAAACATTGTTTTTCAGTCTCCATTTATACATAGGCAACATTACAAAACATTTGAGCATTACATTTTTTGTTCAGAAAACAGAATTAAGTTACTTGCAGAAATTCAATTCTGTCTGTCAGAGGTGGTTTTTGGTTGGTTTTTTTTTT